GTCACTGATCATTAATATTCTCATGTAATATGTAGTATGGAGTGGCCACAAAGAGTTATGTACTGTAATTATGTTCTTCAAAAGTGTTTGGCAAGCAATGCATAAGCACAATCTGCCTGAGACAAAGGAATGTGTATTTGCTTGTCTGACCAGCCTAATCGTCAGGAAGAGACAATGAAGGTACATCTAAATACATGGGTAAACAAGCTAACAAGCTGGGGAGAAGACAGCATGGCATCTCTCAGAAAGAGAATCTTGGTCTGGGCTTACGTCTCAAAGAATACATTTCAAAGGTTTGCTAGGCTATAAAGACAGGGGGTCTGACCCTCAGAAGATAAGCAATTGAATTACCTGTTTGTATACAATATTACTGCATCTGAAAAAGTGGGGGGTTTTACCCATGAAAGTTCATGCCCAAATAAATCTTTTAGTCTTTAAGGTGCCACCAGACTCCTCATTGTTTTTGTGGATACAGACTAACACGGCTACTCCTCTGATACTTTACAATATTACTGAATCATAAAAGTGAATCAAGTACGGTCTTTTATGAAAGCTTGTAACACACTGGTGATTCACATCATTGTGAAATGTATGTATTAACACTATGTGAGGAATTATGGATTCTAACTGACATTATACTTTAAAGTCTGTGACCAAACCTGAGCAACTACTCATATTGTCTCACTGGGGATAGATGTGGCAGACATAATGCATGTATGTACACCCACAAACACACACCTTTCCTAAGCATTAGTTTGGCTGTCAGACTGGAAAATATTAGTATCTTATGGGTTAAAGCACAAATTAGTAGAACAATCATGAACAATGCATCTTTCAGCAGAAGCTAAAATTTATGTGAGTTCTCTATATGTTTCTTTTAATTATACAACCCAGAACTGAAAACAGAAGTCTAACCAGAACACAGACTTCAAAAAGTTTGGCTTTCTTCAAAATGCCATAACAAATATTCAGCTGATTTCCTAACCCAAATATTCTGAGTTATCTCATCCCTAAAAGAATCAGTATCACTCTTTTATTTTTTTCCTTTTCTTTCTATTGATTTACTATGTCTGTATTTCAGAGCCTAAAGAAAACAAATGTAATTTCTATCACTCAGTAAGGTAATGGAATTAGTCTGATGAAACATCAGAAATTTTTACACTGAATTTGTAGTGTAAATTACAGGGAAAAGACACCTCTTAATTCAATAGCCACTTACACTGATATCCTGTACAAACCACATTGATTGCTACAGAGATATGTAACTCCCATAACATTCCAACCTGATGTTTCTTTTGCAATCTTAAACTTTTCTTTCTGTTGAGAGTGGCTGCTTCTGTTTCCCAAAATGGGAAATATGTTTCTTCCTACCCTTGTGAAAGTCATTCCTAAGAGTACTGGAAATCTGATCTCTCTCTTATGCCATATCTTTAACAGATTCTCCAAGGAGATGCGTGTTTCAAGCAGAACAATCCCAGGGCTAAGAATCCCATGTGATAATGGAAAAATGCTCCAAAGTATGCATTCTGCCAATGACTTTCCCCAGTGTGCAATGCCTGAAGTTCTGACACTGGATTTTTTTAACCATTTGTCTGGAATGAACTCACCGCATAAGATGCTAGGTCTGAATTACATTCAAACAAAACTGCAGCATTTCAAGCTGAAAACTTTAGGCTATATCAGAATATTTGTCTTCAATAAATTGAATTAAAAACACTATTAGCGTTAACAGTAAACATATTGGATGGACATTCCTGTTTGGTCTCAAGAAAAGCAATAGTTAATTAGGGTGGAAAGGATGCTGCTTTGGGATATTTGGACAATACCAAAAACATTGATGGCATTATGGGACCTGATCCTCAGAAGGAATAAATCAGCATAGTTCCACTGACTTGGCCCAAAAATGTTGATCGGAATCTGCACTTCAAATTCTCTTTCAGTTTTGATCATTTTATCCCTACAGCCCCAAAACAACATATGAGATATAGGAAAGAGCCGAAGATGAACAACTGAAACGACTTAAGGCTTTGTGGCTAGGGGTTGATATCCTATGTGTATAGAAATTAAGAAGCCTAAAATGATTTAGTCCTGAACAAAGAGGAGAGTTAATAGAGCTATGTAACATGATAGTGTGGTGAACACTGATTGGATGTATCTCTTCAAAATATCCTACCATTTCAGAAAAGCTGGAAAGTTGAGAAATTATAAGGGCATATATTTAAAATGGATAGACAAGAATATTTTAAAAAGCCATATCAGCAGGAAAACAACCTACGGGATTCACTGCTGTGGGAGATTATTGAAGAGAATTGTAGTTTAGAGATGTTCAAGGAAGGGTTACCTATTTATATGAGTACTATATCACTGTCTAGATTTAAAAATTACATGGATATCAAATCCCATCATTTGGAGTGTAAGTTTTTCCAGCATTGGGTTAGCACTAAATGTGTTCCTCGGTGCAGTAGAATTGCGTAATTTGTCCTACTACATTATGTCGTGTACAAGGCATATGTGCCTTCCCAGGGAGAAAATACTGGGTATTATGGGGTATTTAATCTAGTGGAGACAGTCATAATAAGAACCAATAGCTAGAAGTTATATCCAGACAAATGCATATTAGAAATAAGGCACAATTTTTTACCAGTGAGGGAAGAAACTACTAAGGGAACTGGTGGATTCTCCATCTTATGAAGTCTTCAAATCAAAATTGGATGCTTTGCTGGAAGGATATGCTCCAATCATGATGCAATTCTCTGGCCTGTGTTATATATGTCAGACTAGATGAGCTGATAGTCTCTTCAGACCTTAAACTCTATTAATCTAGGTGTTACCAGAGTCAGGTTAACAAATTAGATCCATCAGTCGCCTTTTCCGGGGTAGCTCTTCCTACTGTATGCTTTTTAAAATATAAGGAATTTGAATGTATAACTCCATTATTATGCTATAATATGAGCCACCTTAACCCTTTTTAAGATTGTAGTGTACACACACCACCAGAATAAATACTGGCAAAACAGTCCATGTTATGGAATAATAAAGTACTGCATATAGGCATGAAGAATTAAATTCCTTAGATGTTCCTATGTCATAAAATTCTACCCAAATATAAATGATTTTTTTAAAAAAAGTAATATATGTATTATTTGTATTACACTAGCACCTAGAGGTCCCATCTCAGAATGGCCATTGTGCTAGGCACTGTATGAAGTCAAACAAGTCCTTGTACTAAGGAACTTGCCATCTAAATAGATGTGACACACAAAGAGTGGGGTAAAAGTGCCTGGATGAATTAGGAGCACAAGCCGCACTGACTCTTAACTCACTCAAGTGCTTTTGAAAAGCTCACCCTCAATAGATAAAACAGGCAAAGGGTAGGAGGAGAATCAGAGGCACAGAGAGATGAAGTGATTTACCCTGGGCATACAGCAGGGCAGTGGCAAAGCTGGGAATAGCATCCATGTATCCCAAGTCCCAGTCTTGTGCCCTGGATACTAATCATGCTGTCTCTCAAATGTATCATGATTTGTGAGAATCATCAAAGCTCTATCCAGCACCATAGAATAACCTGAATATTGCTTGAACCATCAGTTTCTTCTGAAAGTGTCAAGATTCTGAGCGATCTGGTCTGAGGTCCGGCATGGCGTTGGTGCATATCTGTGCATGAGCACAAATTCCACAGTTTCCTAGACATGTGGTTGGATGCCCAGTCATCTAGCCTTATGTGTGCACACATTAGAGACTTGCACACATATATGTGGTTCTGTGTGGACAACACAGGTGAGCAGATGGACACACCCACACATATGCAATGACATCAGGGTTGAAAATCAGGCCCTTTATATGTTTATTTAACTTCCATGCAGGCAGCAAGAGAACTGTGAAACAAATTTGAATTTCATACCTATAGCTAATGCCAGGCCCGTGAAAATTTTATTGAATCTTAAAAGGAAAAGTGATACCCTGGCACTTGGACCAGCTACATCTTCTGAGAGGTGCAAATCCACTTCTACTTCAACAGTTTATTAGCCACAATTCTGCTTTAATCTGGAAGAAATAAATACCCAAGGAATAGGTTCTCCACTTGATACAGTTCCCATTCCTGTAAGTTATATATGCACATTAAAAGAGGAACTTACCTCCTGGAGTTTCTTTTCCTCTGGCAAATATGTTGCTCAGGGAAAAACTGGGCACCTATTCAAATTTAATCTATGTTGGCAAATATTTGATTCAATTTCATGGAGTTCCACAGAATACTAGTCTAAGTTCCAGGGGCAGATCTTCAGCTGCTGGAAATTGTTCTTTCCCCCGGCCCCTAGTCAATATTGCTATGATGGCTTATATCAACTAAGAATTTTTCCCCCTTCTCTTTGAATCTGGGTTTGGCAGACTCTTGCTATTTACTACATTATGTGGAGGGAAATGTGATTTCCTTGTAGCAGACTCAATGTTCTGTGACTTCCCCGCACAAAGTCAGGGAGGTCTGCACTTACAAATATAAGGCTGCAAATAACATATGTTTGCAAGTCCAGAAATGACAACAGCCTTTCAGGTGCTATTTTCTGGTTTATAGCAAAAGCATTGTGCATTGCTAATTGGGCCATATGGACTTCCATTTTCCCCAGCCATTTTTAACAGTACAAGATATTGTGTCCTATGCCTCTAGCAGCTGATCTGTGCTTTCCACACCTCCAGTGTGTCTCTTGTAATCTGTTTCACATAAAGGCTTGTATTTGTTTCTGGCCTCCTGGGTTCTGACCTCAGATGGGAGCTGTAAATGGTGGTTGGTGGTAAGAAGGCACCATCACTTCCTCTTTATAAGTTTATTTTATTCCCAGCAGTTCTCCACAGCTCTACATTTTACCAAGTTTTCTCTTTATCAGTATCTCTAACAGGTGGCCGCACTGATGCTTCTCAGCCTACAGCTTGATGCCTTGTAGCTTTCTTCCTGGCTGAGAAATGTCACAGATGGAAATGAGCAGTTTCATCTCTTCCTGCCAGCTGTACAATGATCATGTGATGGCAATCACTCCAGCCAGCCTGGGACTATGGAGTAGAAGTTGCATAGGAATATTCCCAGCTGGAACTGGTAGGCTATTCTATCCTTTTTTTAAAAGGTAAAGTGACGTAGGTGACCCTACCATCTCTGCAAAGAGAACCAGCCAGGTTGCCAATTTTTATGATGGGGATAAGTTTACCTTGGATGTGGAAATGGAATTTTACCTTCATCCCTTAAATTGGTTACTCCAGGACAACGTAGAGGTGCATTGGTGGGGTGAAGCGGGAAGGTTATATTGCTGATCTTATTCTGTAGATATTCGGGTTTTATTTATTTTGGTTTTCAATTTAGCAGGTGCCTCCCAAATTTTTCAATATGTGCTTTTAAAAAATGTACAGTGTATTGATATTTTTATTCAAATTTCCAATTACACAAACACCAGTCTATAGGCTCTCCATCCAAAGAAAACTGAGAGATCCTCTACCAATCATATTATTTATTTCTAGTAAGAGGTCACTCAAAGCCCCCAGTCAGGATCAGAGCCCCTTTTCATGGACCAGGACCCCATTGTGGTAAGTGCTATACAAACACATTGTAAGAGACAGTCCTTGCCCTGAGGAGTCTGAAATACAAACAAATGATGCAATGAGAGGCAAAAACAAATGATGAGCTGGGAATATGGTGAGCATAGATACTTAGTGGTTGTTACATTCATCTCGAAAGTTCCACTACATATATATATTATGTGTGTGTGTGTTTGTGTATCAAGAGACGATGCATAGATATATATTGGGTCTGATTCTTCAGTGCCTTTTTGCAGTCTACTGCATATATGTGTATACAAAGACGGAAATGGAGACGTGTAGCAAAAATATTGTATATATTTGAGTGTGGGAGGATATATGATGCTAAAAGGAATTGGAGGCATGGGAGCAGAAGAGGCAAGGACGATATAGATAAAGGGAAGAGGTGGGGAGGGATAATGGGAGGATGATAGCAGGAGGCAGTCAGATAGGAAAGATCTGAATAGTTTATCACAAGATACGGGACTTCATTCCCATTGTCCCTCTAGGATCCTTCATAGAACTAAATTTACCTAGTGTTAAAATGTTTTTTCTTCCCTCTTATACCCAAACTAGGCTTTGCAGGATTCCCGACAGATTGTACAAACTAGATATGTCCATTCAACTCTCAGATTTCATATCCAAAGGCATATACCTATTTGTGCCACAGTGTTACCTCTCGCTTTCATCAGATAGATAATTATTTGTTGCGTCACTGTCTAGCTGCACTTGATTAGAGACCTAGAAATGAGAAGATCTGTATCCCATTATCTATCCCCTGGTCCACCTACTCATCTTCAAGCAATTTCAATTGCAATGGACTTTAGTAAAGGAAATTCTATCTTTTCTATGTATATGTTAGATTTACTGTAACTAGGTAACTGGTGTATTGGTTTATTTCAATCTTCTCAGTTGGGTTCCATGTGAGGGGGCTGGAACACAATTAAAGCGAGCTCTAAAGATGAATGGCTTTTGTGCAGGAGTGGAGAAAGTTTCTTCACCCATTTGGGGTCTATCTGCTGTGTGCGTCAGACAAGTTTGAAAGCCCTTTTTCATGTTTTATCAGTATAGCTTACCTTTGTTATGAACAGTTGCTCGAAAAGACTCAGTTAACTGACTTTGTTTCAAAGAATTGCATAAATATATTGAAAGCTGCGCTCAGAATCACCAGTGCTCTGTCTTGAGCTACCATTTAAAAAGATCTGGACCATGATGACTCAAGCAGTAATGGTGAATGTGACTGTAGAACTTTCAGTGTTTAATAATATAATGTTGAAAGGTCTCCAGACAGATTTAGTATTGGAAAGGAATATATAAACAGATGGAATAATGCACCCTGTTTTACTCTAGTCAGTGTATTATAGGCTAATATGTTCTAATGACTTATAAAATGATTCCCTTCTGTGCTTGCTCCTGAGGTAACAGGTTATTTTGAGTTTGCAATCTTCCTGGACTCTGGAGATAGTTCCCTCAGCTTTCATTGGGCCAAAAACAAAGTGATGGCAACAAACATATTGTGCTTTAATCCAGTGCCAGTCCTTCTCTCCTCTCCGCTAAGCAGTTGTGTACATGCTAAAATAGCTACACACTGTCCTTAATTTTACAACTTCAGTGCACCCTAGACATTCAAGGCACAACCATAAAAGCAGCATCTGTCCTACGGGGTAGTTGGCCAAACTTCCTTGATGATTTGTATGGTAAGGCAGATGCCACCCCTTTAGTTTCATTCAAGGGATCTAGTTATCCTGTGAAGAGTGGGAGATTCATGAAACTCCATGACATTAATGGGGAACCGTGGACTCTAAATCTCTCTGCCAGCAATGGAAGAACCCACCTCAATGTACTACTAATATACATGACTAGAGAAAACCTTGCCATTTAAATAGACTAATTAGTTAAGTTTAATCACCCATAGTTTCATATTTCTGAATTGTTAGGAATTTCAACAGGATTAGAAAGGTGAGGAAATGGGTTAGTATTACATTACTTAAGATTATATGGCAAATAGCGTTTTCACACCAGATTTGAGACATTTGTACTAAATTTTGAGCGTGAGCTCAAATTGTCATTCTATAAAGACCGCTCTCCAGATAGGCTAATTTGTCTACATGTGTTCCATTTTAGGGCTTGATTTTAACTTTTGGATGATTCCCGCGAATGCCAAAGACAGGGTAGGAAATCCATTATATATCTACAAGAGCGACTGAAATGGAAAATTCCCAAAGAAACCCTATTAGAGTTTTTTTCCATCAAACCACCATTACAGACTTCTTATGCTTTTCTTAATTATACATTGATATTAACTGGACTGTTGCATGATTTAAATCTGGCTCTTAATCTCAGCTATTCTGTGCCGCTGTAGTTTTTATGACATCCAACTAACAACTGCTTTATGCACTAATCTATCTAGAAAACCACCTTAATATTTTTTGGTCTTTTTTAGAAGAAAAAAGACCCCAAGAATGAAATGAAAGCTTTTGGGTTCAGCCATTAGCAATTTTCTGCTTAGTATTTGAAAAATTGCTTATTTTAATTGCTTCACAAAAGAAAAAGATATCAAAGCTACTGTTCTCTATTTCCAAACTTTGTAATTATTTCACTCAGTCATTTGAAATGGCTTAAAAGTATTTTCATTGAAATGTAGATTTCTTCCATTTCAAATGTACTTTTATTCTCCAGTGTTTCTTTTCCTTTCTTTTGGTTACTTTTTCTCTGGTCTCCACGACAGCCAACCTTCAGCCTCTGGAACCAAAAGCAGAGAGATCCATGTCTGTGTTCACACACGCATGTATATCCCCATTGTTTAAATGCATCATCTCCATCAGAAGTCCATCCTCTTCATGCTCTAAGGACTGCAATAATGATATCTACCTCTTTTACAGCACTTTTCATCAGTCAATCTCAAAACCCTTTACCAAAGAGGTAAGTATCATTTATCCCCACTTTACAGATGTGGAAACTGAGGCACAGAGAGATTAAAGTGACTGGTCTAAGGTCAGCCAACACACAAGTGGCAAAGCCAGGAATAGACCTCAGATCTGCTGAATCCCATTCCAGTGCTCTGTCCACTAGGGAACACTATCTCCCAAGTCACATTTCATTCCTACACTTCATATCTACTAGTTTTAGGGAGACTGTCATGCCAGGTGATGAATAAAGACACAGGGCCAGAATCTCAACTGATGTGAATTGGCATCTGAAGTCAACAAAGCTCTGCCAATTAGCTCCATTATTATTTACTATTTCTATTGCGGTAGTGCCTAAGGACCCCAGCCAGGGATCAGGGCCCACCGGGCTAGGCACTGTACCAACAAATAAGACAGTCCCTGCCCCAGAAAACTCGCAAGCCCAAATTGTCAAAAATAGGAGCCTACAGTTAGTCTCTCCTAAATTCACATTTAGGTTTCTAAGAGTATAATTTTCATTAAGAGCATAAGTAACATTCACTTCAATGGATCAGGTGTGTGTACATAAATTAGACACAACAGTGGTCTCAGTAGTCACAGGCTCACCAGCCTAGTCATCCCCAGTGAAGGATCTGCCCCTAAAGTCTTTCCCTCTGGAATCTGCACCAGTTAACTGAGCCTTCAGATAAACCAAATAGTGGCTTCAAAAGCTTCAGATAAACCAAATAGTGGCTCCAAAAACAACAGTAAAAAGAATCCCCGTGAAAGCCCCAGACACAAAGGAGAGACATTTTGCTGAGGATGCCATACGATTTTCTCTGTCTTAATCTGCTGTTGGCTTTCTCCTCAGCTGCATACCTACATCTGCCATATGCAAGGACAGATTTCCCACATTGACATTAAAGATATTTAAATCTCTAAGATTAGCCCCCAAACACACTTACTTGAACCTGGAAAAATGTGAAACTTGATGTTCACAGGCATCTATGACTCAGGAATAAATATCTTTCTAAGAGATATGAGCTAACAACTCCACCAGAAATTATGTGCTTGATGCAGAAATTATTGGGTGTATTTCTGTGTTCCAAGATATGCTGGAATTCAGACTAGATGATCATAATGGGGTCTTCTGGCCTTCAAATTTCTGAAACACATTATCTTTGGTTTCAATGCATGAAGATCACACTCTCCCCCATTTTACTCCAAGTTTCATGTTTAGAATGGATTCAATATCTCAGAGCCTAACTCATTCTAAAATCTGCTGGGTATTTGGCCTGATCTTAATGTCAAAACCATAAGAATCTACCATGGGTGATGGTTTGGCTTAGGTTCATTTGAAAGATTTATGAACTTCAGTGAATATTTCACTGAACCTACACTGAGTTTGAGGTTTGTGATGAAATCTGGGGACAGGTGAGTTCCATGTGGTTTTAGGCAGTACAAACCCTGCATGTCTGAGTCTGTGAAGAAATTTACTAACTAAACCCTGCATTTGTGTTTCACCGAAGTTGACCATCAGTCACAAAGCCTTGGGGTCTTGTTGGACTCACCACTGATCCTGGATATCAAGGCAGCAACAGGGGCAAGAAATTATTTCCTCCTCCGATAGTTTGACAGGAAACTACACTACTTACTCTTAGATGAGGATCTGGCCACAATGATCTATGTGTTCATCATTTCTAGGCTGGGCCTTAGCAGTTCTCAGAATCCAGAGTTGAAGATGGAGGTTACTAAACTCACTTATGCAGAATGCAGCAGCTTTCCTCCTGAGCAGGAAAAGACAGAGAGAAAAAATCATATGACATTCAAATGGGCTGACGCCTGGTTACACCAGAGATGTCCTCTAGTGACAGCTGTGTTTCTCTGGGATGATGCACCTACAGTCGGCTAGACAAAACTCACAGGAGCCAGAGCTAAGGTGTTCTTGGTTTCTGTGTCCTCAGCTGTGGAACAAAAGTACTGGAAGGGATAAGACTGAATCCAAACAAAACATTCTCCATATTCAGGTTTTACAAAAGCTTTTTAGCAATAACATAAGACAAGGAATGAGAACAGCAAAAATGAAAGAAAAAGAGAAAGAGGCAGGGGCAAAGCTTCCTAAGGAAGAGGCAGAGTTCCTATAGAAATCTCTTTGTAGAATTACTGTGTTTTGTGCTCCGGGTGCTACAATACTAGATACTACATCCTAGATATAACTAAATAGATTAACTTCTTGCCCACAACAAAAATTAATGCTCCCTTTCTTACCTTAAATGTCTTCAGAGATAGTTCCAGGACTTGTTGAGGATAGAGAGAGGAAGAAAGGGAGGTAGAATGTTTGGAAGCTTCTCAACAATGCAGATACCCTCAGGTCATGTTGGCCAGACTTCAGTGAATGCATCAAACCCTCTAGAAGTTAGAAAGGCTTTGAGTCTTGATACTAGATCTAGTTGTGTTGCTATCTCTACCTCCTACATACAACCTTGTCATTGTCTGGGCAGTCCTCTGTGTATTACCTGCAGACACACAAAGTGAAATCTGAGGCTCTCCATTGGAAGATTTAGATGGGTAGATAGAATGAATGTTAGCTGGGGCAAGAATAACCCTTCATGATACCCAGGATAGGACAAATCACATAGTCAAAGAACGAATGAATTATATTAGTAGTTTTGCTGTTTCAAATAATGCATTTAAATATTTAAATAAGTCAAAACCACTTAATAAAGTTTGTTCCAAGTAGCAATAGTAATAACAGTTACTAGAGGGCTAAATTGTGCAACCTTAACTCACATTGAGTAGAACTGTGCTCCCAAGGAGTTCCATTGATTTCAACAGTACACATTAGTTATGCCATTTCTTGCTTCTTGATTTTGATGGGACAGCAAAGGTATGAAGCCAACATGAGTGCAGGTCTCACAATCTAGACTGGAATGACAGCTGCCAAAGAAGAGACTGTAATGCATGTAAATTGTGTCCATATTATATGCTAAGATTTATTTTTTTCATCTTTGTATTATTTCCTTGCAACATCCTAAGATATTCAAATAAAATGCAAGGAAATGTTTCAATGCACTGTAAAATACAAATAGCATAACAAAATTACTCAACCCATCAGAAGGTAGAGTTTGCATAACTAATGTGTATTATAGGATCCCTTACAAGTGAAATGCTAAATTCCAAGGGGCTGAACTGATAAAATATTTTGATGTATAAATGACGCAGCTGTTGCTATGATAACAATATATGCTTTATTGAATAGAACAAGAAATGGTCAAGCAAAGCGTTATGGCTGGGCTGGGGATTAAAGATAGACTTTGGCACTGGGGAAACTCCAACTTGAACATGAATCCACTTGCCCTGAAATTTTACTCTTGCTCTAATTGTGCCTAAATTTGGAGCTTTTTCCTTCAGAACCCAACTTTATTTCCCTCTTGATCCCAGAGTGAAATAATAATAATACTAAACAGTGAATAAATTATGTATTTGTCTTTGCAGTGATCAAGCCCCAGCCATTGTGATAATTCCAAGACGGTGAGAACTCCCATCTGAAATCTTCTTTCGGTATAAAAATGAATCATTTCCTGCCACGTGAATATGCCTGTTTTACTTCAGTCCTTGCTTACCTTCTAGTCTTTAATTTTCTCCTTTCAATGGATTACTCGTACCTGTTCCTTGGCTGAAGGTGGGGATTGGGCAACAAGAACTTGCACCTTATTGGCTGAAAATGGAAAGCAAGAGTATTTGTGATTCAAAAGCTGTTGCTATCACAGTGTTACAAACATATCATGCAAAGAGCAAATGCAAACTTCAAAGAGAGTCTCATGTCTCTCAGTCAGAAACAGCAAAGAGAAAAAGTGAAGGGGAGTCTTTCTGGCTCAGTCTGAGAATACAGGTTCATTCAAGCTAGACCAATTCCAGTTAATTAGGATCAGTGTTGGTTTGTGAGACTGTAGGAAAATTAACGGATGTGTCCTGGTTAGGCCCATCCTTTTCCAGTTCTCAGTACATTCAAGCAACAGAAGTGGATTCTCTTCAATATAAAAATATAAACATTGCATAGGTTTCTCATTGCTTCTATAATATATTACAAAGATTTTTATGTTGCTGTTTTCTTATCCCCCACCTTCTTCCTCAGTAAAGTAAAGGAACTTTGAATGCTGTTTAATGTCAACCCATTTGTATGGATACCTCATCTGGATTTTTGTTGTGTTATCCCTTGATCCCTTGTGACAATGCCTGATTGCGAACATCTAGACAAGGATGATATCAGCATTTCAAGGTATTTTTGACTGCAAGTTTTTTGTTGTTAAATGACTCAGGCATAGGCACTGGTGTATACAACATGAACGCACATCAAAGACATACACATTTCCATTGTATCTCCACTTCTCTCCCTTTCAATGGAGGGTAGGATGCAAGAGTGCTCCTCCTCCCCAATAACTGGTACTAAGTTGCTTTCCAGACTGTATTGCATTAAATGCATAACATACAAATAAGAGAACTGCACACTGGCAATTTGTGGTGTTTTTCTTTTCCTAAAGGTTAGACAACAAGAACAAAGCAGTGTCTTAAAGAAATTTTCAGTCTCCCTCCTGTGGACTCTCTTTGCATAGGGAGAATCTTTGGGCATCATAGCTGGCATCATAGCTGGCAGAGCTCTCTCTTCACAATGTATATGTCATAGAATCATCTAAATATAGGGCTGGAAGTGACCTAGAGAGGTCATCCCCTCTTGCTGCGGCAGGACCAAGTATACGTAGATCATCCCTGACAGGAGTTTGTCTAGCCTGTTCATAAATACCTCCAATGATGGGTATTACATAATCTCCCTTGGTAACCCTTTCCAGTACTCAACTATCCTTATAAACATTTTTCCTAATATCTAACCTAAATCTCCTTTGCTGCAGATTAAGCCAATTACTCTTTGTCCAACAGGTGTCATCTATGTTGGTGTCATGTACATGGTAGGGACTGAGAGAGCATATCCAGAGCACATTGTGCTTTAGTAATCCTGCCCAGCACAGTGACCCCTAGAAAGACGTTGTTTCTGGTGTACTTTAGAGTATCTCTGAGGCGGCTCTAAATTACTCCACAGGCTAATCTGACCTTGAGATGCCCTGAGGAAAGGTAAAATGGACTTAGATCCATCTTCTCCTTCCTTAGAAGTTTTTAAGGTCAGGCTTGACAAAGCCCTGGCTGGGATGATTTAGTTGGGGATTGGTCCTGCTTTGAGCAGGGGATTGGACTAGATGACCTCCTGAGGTCCCTTCCAACCCTGATATTCTATGATTCTATGATTCTCTTGGTACCCATCACTCAGATCATGCCCCAAGCACAGCTTCATCAGACATAAGTAGAAGAATAATGGATATTTTGAGAACATCTTACATAGTCTTGCCTCTCCTCCCTATAAAACATTAAGCTTGTTTGGAAACTGGAGCACTGATTGCCATTATTTTTCAGGCATGAGGCCGTGTGTTGTAATGCAACGGCACATTGCTCATCTCATCCTGGGAAATGGGTATGGCACACCCTGCAGGGTCCCTGTGAGCCTGTTAGAACACCTAGCTACTTATAATTCACTAGTTAGCTGTACTCTTAAGGTTTGCATGCTTTACAGACATGCCTCCTCGAGGAGATATGAGGGAACAGAATGGTGCCGAGAAGGGAACGCCAAAGGTGATGTGATGGATATTGCAGGTGTTTTTTTAATTATCAGAAAATCAGGCTGGTTTTTAAGTGATCTAGAGCAGCCACGGCAACATTGCTCCAGCCAACTTCAGTGTTGCTTTAAGGCAGCTGCTACAAATAAGCGTTCACAATTGCAGATGTTTCCTCTTTTTTTTTCACTCCTTGCTTAACACGGGCTGGAAGTGTTTGTTTATTTCTCTTAATGAAGCGTCTGTTCAGGGGACTGGATAGCCCAATGGCTTTGTAATGCAATATATTGCCTTTCGTCTCGAGCTCACGAGTTCAAATCCAGCACAGCTGGTCAGGGTCCAAAGGCCATTACTATCCAGAGGCTGTTTGGTGACCAGTGTGAAATGACAGGTTTCAGAGTGGCAGCCGTGTTAGTCTGTAGCCGCAAAAAGAAGAGGAGGACTTGTGGCACCTTAGAGACGAACAAATTTATCTGAGCATAAGTTTTCGTGAGCTTCATCCGATGAAGTGAAGGCCAAGAAGGCCAATGGCATTCTGGGATGTATAAGTAGGGGCATAGCAAGCAGATCGAGGGACGGACGTGATCGTTCCCCTCTATTCGACATTGGTGAGGCCTCATCTGGAGTACTGTGTCCAGTTTTGGGCCCCACACTTCAAGAAGGATGTGGATAAATTGGAGAGAGTCCAGCAAAGGGCAACAAAAATGATTAGGGGTCTGGAACACATGACTTATGAGGAGAGGCTGAGGGAGCTGGGATTGTTTAGCCTGCAGAAGAGAAGAATGAGGGGGGATTTGATAGCTGCTTTCAACTACCTGAAAGGGGGTTCCAAAGAGGATGGCTCTAGACTGTTCTCAATGGTAGCAGATGACAGAACGAGGAGTAATGGTCTCAAGTTGCAGTGGGGGAGGTTTAGATTGGATATTAGGAAAAACTTTTTCACTAAGAGGGTGGTGAAACACTGGAATGCGTTACCTAGGGAGGTGGTAGAATCTCCTTCCTTAGAGGTTTTTAAGGTCAGGCTTGACAAAGCCCTGGCTGGGATGATTTAACTGGGAATTGGTCCTGCTTCGAGCAGGGGGGTTGGACTAGATGACCTTCTGGGGTCCCTTCCAACCCTTATATTCTATGATTCTATGATTCTATGAAAGCTCATGCTCAAATAAATGTGTTAGTCTCTAAGGTGCCACAAGTCCTCCTTTTCTTAGTGTGAAATGAGTTAGGCCAACTTTGTCTGTTTACTGATAGATAAGTGCCAGCTTCACCATAAAAAGTGACACAGTTCGTACTAATGATCACCCATTTTTGACTTTCTTAGGAGAGAGGCTAAGGACATGGGTGGGCCATGAAGACGTAGCCACCCACTCATCCACAGTGATGAGTCTTGTTAGGTCAAGATTTGAGGCACATGGACAAAGAAGCTTGCACTCCTGCAAACCATGCTGTTCCTTTTCTCTTAACAGGGAATTTAAAATCAGAAGTTTGCAAACCGGGCTGGCTGATATTAGGCTCCTAAATCTATATTTAGACACCTAGATGTAAGTGGCCTGGTTTTCAAATGTGCAGAGCACCCATAAATGTCAATGAAGTCAGTGGGAGCTGAAGAGATGCAGAATCTGTGAACTTTTATTTGGGTGCTTTAAAAGGCACATTTAGCTCTTACGGTATCAAGTATTTCCAGCCAGGCTGGAAATGGAATATACATACTGATACAGTATATCATTCAGCCCTCATAGAGTTAATATGTTGGGAATTAGCTCGAAGGCATCTCTTCAGGTGCTGATCAGGAAAACGCTGCACGGGCTATTAAAATAGCTGCTTTTGGTAGGGTTGCAGGTCAGGGGTAGCTTACTCCCATATCCTCCCTTGTAGCCTGACCTGTGCACCACTCTTTTTAAGGTCAGGCCCTTAACATCAGGAACCTGTTAGAAAGAAAGATGGATCGTTTTTAAAGCTGTTGCCATTCTTAGGGTTAAGTTTGGAGAGGGGATAAGGCCCAATAAACTTTTATCAATTGAAAAATAAACCTTGCCTAAATTTGAATCACAAACTCATCCAAACCTGTGAGACCTGGCCAAAAAGTCAACAAGCTTGATCTTGCCCACAATGCAACAGCCACCAGGATTCATTTCGAACCATGCTTTGCGGCCCTAACGGTAACATTCTCATCTGTTAGTTACAGTTTCATCTGTAATATCTTGATAAATGGGGTAAAATTGGTATACCTGTGTTAATTAAACAGGAGATAGCAGAGACAGCTTTCATTTCCGAAATTCTTTTGTGTACATTATTTCCCAGGGCTTCACAGCTGGGGGAAAAATAACAAATCCAGACACATTATGCATAATTTTTCAGCCTAACTGATAAAGCTATTTTACTCATATAATGATCCATGATCTTTTTTGTATCATGGAATATTTAATTATTTTGCTGCCACATGGCAGTTTCCTTTACTCTGCTTTTCTCTGTGTGTGTGTGCGTGCGTGCATGTGTGCACTTTTGTAACAATGTTTCCCTGTTAATCACAAGGAAATGTGCACATGCATAAGTGCCAGGACTGGGGGGAAAAATGTTACAAGTTCATGAATTGTAATTTTCAAACTCTGTCTGCAGATTAGTATGTGTAAACATAAGTCTGCCCCTCTTCATTTTGGATAATTGGTCACAAATGCTACTTGACACTTTTCAAAGCAGACACTTTACATACTTCTGAATCATTGCTGAACTTTTTGGCAGGAATTAATTTGCTTTCTAACTCAGCCACTCATTCATGGTCCAATCCTGCCGTTCTTATTCCACCAATTTCAGTGCAGTGTTCTGACAGAGTAAAAGAAGCAAAAGCAGGACCAGATCCTTAACTGGTGTAAGCCAGCATAGCTCCATTGGATTCCATGGGAGCTACATCAGTTTACACCAGCCTTTGCCAATACTCATTAACCAGGGGATTTTATTCTTAAACTTCTCTTTATATATTTAAACTTTCAGACTACACTGTATATATATTGTAGCATCATGGATATCTGAAGGAATGAGATGACACCACATTGTCAGAAAACACAACAAACAATCATTCATCTATAGCTATCACACAGCAATACCAGCATCCTCTAGAGCTAGCCACGGGTGGCCCTGTGTTCCAATTCTCATTCTCCCAGCCTCTCTTTCAAACCGCACCCATGTACAACTCAGCTTGTGGCAGAGGGGAAGCCCATTAATATATATAGACCTATATTCATGTGCGGATATAAAGTTTAAATTATTCCACATAATTTTGTGCTGTTAATCAGTCCATTCTTTGTGATGACATTCTGTGACTGCTGTGTGTTTACTTAACATGCACAGTTACTGTAAGAACTGAGCAGACTGCACAGCCCACTTAGAAGTGCTTGCCAGATCCCAGGGAGTGTTTCTGTGTGTAATTCCAGTGTTATTTTTAGGTAGGAGCATGGTCCCCTAAGAGTGTCACTGGGAACATTTTATTTTATCTGATGACTTATTTCAGTTTTATTCCAGCAGTCTCTGACCACAATAGTCTTCCACGCACATGCACATCCATTAACACTCAGTGTAAAATATGGGCTTTCCATTTATGGTATTTGTTTATTTTTCAGTGTATTAAGCATGCACCCATTGCACTTTTCAGGTTTTGAAGCAGGATTCATTATGGTGCAACACCACTACATTGCTTTCTTCATCCAGAAAATGGATAGAAAAGGAACAGATTGAGTTTAGTTTGAGAAGCAGGTGTAGGTTCAGGTGGAGACTTATTTTATCTGAAATGTCTTGCTCATCTCTAATATTAAACCTATTTGTTAGATGTAGCCTGCACAGTGCACTAATTTTTGCAGGAAGTATTTGGTTCATACTGTACCTTATCAAGACCCAACTTATATCCAGTCAATGGACCAACTTCTCCCTGAGCTTCACTGGGTTCACACAAAGGGCAGATGAGGGGAGGCGGCAAAGGTACATTTGTGCCACCCCGGTCTTTTGTGTCAGCGGGGAGCTGAATCATCACCTGTCACAAGTTATAGCAGTAGCTGGAATGACAGTTCCTTTGGCCTTGTATGCCTTGGTCCCACACCCGCCAGTCCCTGTCACAGTCCCTTCTCATCACCAGCCCAAACCTGAACACTCCCATCCTACAGTAGGGGAACAGATGGTGTAAAGACTGCTAAACCAGCTTCATAATGCAGAGGGATTCTCCTATGTCAAGGGAACCCTTAACTGCCCTATTGGCGCAGCTTGACACTGGGCTTCTGTTGGAGCAGTGCAAAGGAGAACTTAGGGTAGGCCATGGATCTGTCCCCTTGACTTCAAAGGGACTGCATGGCAGAATTCAGCCATATTTTTATTACATGGGGGCTCACTAGTACTGTGTTTGTTAAGGATTTAGGTCCTAGGTCTTATAGAGTCCGACGTGAAGTAACACATGAAGCCCCATGCACAACTAGTCCTATGGCGCAACAACTGTTGCCAGGGCCAGGGATTTCCCTACACACACCCACACCCGAACTCCCTCATAGGTCAACAGTTCCAGTGTTGCCAGTTTAGTCATTTTCCAACTCTTCCCCCACCACCACCCCGAAATTCAAATAGCCCCTCTGATTTCAATTCCCTAGCCTGTGTGTGAGGACTCTGTATAAGCAGGGCTCTAACTGGCAAGAGAGGCGTCATATATAAAGTTAGCCTTCAAGCCCAAATCTTTGACTTAGAAGCATTTGAAATAGTTTGCCTAGTTTCAGGATAGAAGAGAGCAAGTACTGGCTGTGGTCTTCTAGGACTGTCACTGATAGAAATGTTGGTAATTACTCCCAAGGAGTAATAGTTGGTGTTATTAAGAAAAGAAAAGAAGAAAAGAAAAGAAAATTAAGTGTGGTAAAGGACTGCTTCACACTCTTAATCAACATATTTTCTGTGTCAATATGCATGCTTGCTAGATATGAGTGGCTCAGTAATGCCACAAGTGATGAAGGAGAACCCACAGCATGTCAGTGATTCTAGTGCCAAGTACATACAGGCCATGAGTCAAAGCCCAGAAAGGCCCGACATAGCACTACATCACCATAAAGGGATATTTCCACACTCATGGTCATTAGGCTCCAAACTCTCACCAACTTTCATTGGGATTTGGATGACTAACTGCTCTTTGGGCCTTTAAAAAGTCCCCCATAAGCTCTGCTTCAGGGACTTGCAGCAAGAGTACAAATAACTCTTTGATCCTGATACAGTATAAACATTTTTTTTCTATCCGTATGCATTAACAAAATTTTCCCCTACCCTCAAAAAGAATGACAACAAAAATCCTTGCCTAGGCTAAAGATCTGACTTAAACCCACAAAAGAGCATTCAGAGTTAAGGATGATCCTCCATCTTGAACTCACAACATTGTGCCTCAAATAGGGCAGCCAGCAGGAGTACATAAGGTTACCCACTGATGTAAGCCATCTGTTGCAATGCCTCATGAATGCCGTTATTGAAAGTGAGTAAACTGTTGCTTCAATGGGCAAAAATTTTCTTGGTGTACTCATAGTGTTGTGGCCAAATTCCAGTGTTGGTAATTACATTCTGCCTAACTGCAGAATATGTGTGTGGGGAAGAAGGGGGAGATTCCTTCCTTTCTCACGATTCTAAATTGTAGTCTAGTGTGATATCCACTGTAAAACAGTTGTTGAGTTTTCCTGTATTTGTGAATCAAATGATCTGTGTACGCGCAAAACTGTTTTTTTGAATCCAGCTGTGTAATCCAATTGTATTACTTAAAAGTGATCTGATTATTACAAGATGTCTATATTAAAAAGAACAAGTGAAATTTATCTCTAGTGCACTTCCATAGTCGTCTGTGGCATTACACCAGAGATAAAATGGGCCATCCATAGTAATAAGCATCATGACTTAGTTCTTTAAAATCACTGGCTAACTTGTATCTTGAATGATTGGATTCAAAAACTAGTAGGTTGCAAGTAGGCCTTTTTGTTTACCTGTTATGCAAGAAATAAAACAATATTTAATTATGACAAATCAAACATCTGAATCTCTGAGTGTAGCGTATATTAATTTGCAGTACTAATGTAGTAAAGGCTAGATTAAAAAGCTTGGTTTATTTGGAAACGTACTTATTCCTAAAAGCATGTATCCAGATCATTTTTAAATTGGATCTCTTGTCCCCCATGGGCCACATCACATAACTGGATGCCAATGAAATGTCTGCAAATGATAAAAACTAAAAAAACCACCATTTTCTTTTTGGTCCCTGGAGAGCTGGGAGAGGGGACTGCGAGAGAGAAGGTATCTGCAGTGGGCAGGGATTCTGTCTGCTAAAATTCATCATCAAATCTGTCCAGCCTCTGGGACTTCATTTGAGTGCCTGCGTCCACTCAAGCTGACCTCATTGCAGAATCAGAAGTCTCTTGATCTTAACAGAGAAACCAAAAAGGAAAGTAAATCCCAAGTGTCCAGCTCAGAGGATGTGACATGAACTTTGGAAAGATGAAAGATATGAGGAACATTTAATATTCCAAAATGATAGGTTGTTGCAGTCGGTGGATCAGGGATGAGACGACTGGGGAACCAGATTGGTGCACCTTTGGGTCAGTTCACTTCTCATGTCGTCAACATTTTGTTTAATTTAGGAGGAAACAGTTCTGAGCTGAGATAAAAACTACAAAAAAAAAAAAATCACTAAATCACTCCACAGGCTAACATAACAATTTAATCTAGCCTGTGCTTCCCCTAGCTTTATACCTACGGTCTGATTTCTTCTTCTTCTGTTTCTGACATCTATTTTTCTTTTACTGGGCTAACCTTAACTTGGAAGCTTAAGGAGCTGAGTGGTTTCATTCTGGGTACAGCTAGCCAATATACAAGTTCATTTATGACCAACAATAATGGGTCTGATCTTGAAGTCACTAGAACTTCAGTGGGAACATTAGCAGGACAAATATTTGTATTATATGTGCTAAAGGATCAGTAATTAAATCTCTTGTTTTGGGGCATTAGGTGGTCATAGCGGATGTCACAAAGTGTTTTTCCCCCATGTTCAGCACTGGCCATGTGCATTATGAATATATTCTTCCTCTGGTGTATCGGGCACAGGACACTTGCTGGAGCCAGAATACTGAAATTAATGGACTTATAGTTCACCCTGTTGTATCAGATCAGTATTTAGCTAGTTCCAGTTCTGCATTTAGGGATTTATTCTTCCCTTACTGCTACTGTGAGGGGCAGGAAATATAAAATTTAGACCAGGACTGGTTAAAATCATGGGCACCGAGCTCTTACCCTTAAAAAACCATTTTACACAATCAG